AACTCAATGTCAGTGTACAGGGTAGATAACTAATTACAAGTATCAACCTATATGGCAGACAACTCGATGTCAGTGTACAGGGTAGATTACTAATTACAAGTATCAACCTATATGGCAGACAACTCAATGTCAGTGGGGTAGATAACTAATTACAAGTATCAGCTTACATAGGAGACAACTAATTGTTAGTGTAAAAGGCAGATAACTCATCATATATATAATTAAGAGAGATAACTTCAGACAAGTCATTATTTTGTATAGGGAAGACAACTCTATTCTTCAGCCTTCAGGTAGCAGTGTACAGTAGTGTACAGTGGCCATGCATGGGTGATATTTTTGTACAATGAATAACCCCTGTATTATAACATGTATCAAAATTAAAAATAAATTAAAAATCAGCACTAAAATTGGCATATAATGTTTATCTGAGGCATGCCCTTTATTTTTAGGATCCGACCATTTCTACTGTACTTTGCTACCTCATGGGAGACAAATTACTGTTAGTGTACAGGGGATATAACTCATTATCCACATACTCATACATGTTTGAAAGACGATGTGTTGTAAGTAAACAGGGGAGGTTACTCATTATCAACATAATCATACATGTCTAAGAGATAATTTATTGTACAGGGGAGATGTCAACGACAATTAATTATTTCTGTATAGGGGAGATAACTCTGTACTAATCAGCTTAAATGGGAGACAATTCATTATCAATTTTTAATAAACACTGATGGTGACATTGAGCTTTATCTCAGCTCATATAATAGTGATAGCAAATGTGAGATAGCATCTGAAATATCAAACAACATATTTGTGTGATGTCATGATTAATATTATACCGGTAAATCCTTATCATAGCGCTTACCGCAAAAGTGTCTTTATTCAACATTGCATAAAAATCTACATTGATTCCCCCAATCACAACCTGTAATTGAAATAAAAGAGAAATAAGTCAACTTTACAAAACAAAGTTACAGAATATAAGTTCTGAATCGATAATAAACAAAACGTTATTCCGTTGAAGTTTCAATTTCGTGAATAAGAAATACTTTATATGCTATCTGGAATGTTTTTCCTGAATTGAATAAATCAATTTGAAATATCAAAGTTTGTTTGTAGTTAAAACGTCCACAGAATAGCTATGGTACATGTACGTTGATGGATTAGACAGATGGCTATAGGGAAGTTCTGTCGAAAAGAAAAATAGATAGGTCCCAAGTGCTTCATTGTTCTTTTAAAAGCAGATTAAGTCAGAAAAGAAACCTGTCAATTCTGTATTTAACCAGGAAATCTACTTTGAGTAGTCTGCCTGATCTTTTTAAATTTACTTGATGAATGTTAATGCAAAGTTTTAAAATTAACTAATTCAAATTTTGTAAAATGCAGCAATTTGCAACAGTTTGAATTTTCCTTCTTAAGAACACCTTACCGATTTCTGTTTTCTTTCAAAATTTTCACATGAAGTGAATTTAATACATAAGAATTTTATGATAAAACAACGTAAAAAGCCTATCATACCACTCTGCCCTTGCCTTTGACAGACTGCTGAGCTGGTGACCTCGATTTTATATGTGGTCGTACTGTAGTGACATCATCACTTTCTGTGTTGGTTGCACCATCTGGTGAGGATTTCCTGTAGATAGATAACTGTTTGGCTATCTGACTACCCACCCTGGCATTGTTTCTGATGAGTGCAATGTCTTAAATGAAGTAAAGGATTACAACATGTATATCAAATATGCATGGGGGTGCATTGCAGCTTATTTTCTGATGTGGCACTTCCCTTTGTATAGAACCGTGGTATGTGAATGTCACATAAGTATCTTCTACTTCTACTTCTAACTGTATTGCATTGTATCTTCATAGCGTTAGAGGACAGCTCTTAACTCCCAATGCTAGTATGACAATGGAGCATAATTGCGCAAGTGTGTTCTGTTTAAAAGCCAGGCGTAAAGAGACCATGCTGAGATGTCACAGCGATAATATCTTATAATGTTGCTGCACAAGGTCTCATGCAGGCCCAGTTAACAGTCCAAGGGAGTTAAATCTCCCGAAATTCACCACAGCTATATGAACAGTTAAGCAGTGAACTGGCTGAAAATGGTGATTTAAGGGTCCAAATTAGAGAGTTTGCAAGTATGTATATTACATAATATTGAAGGATGACCCTGCCTCTGAGATGTCACTTTAAATGATTATGTCTATTTTTGTTCACGTATCAGGGAAGGATACTAGCAACCAGGGAGGCTCCTTTTGTGATTTCATTGACCTGTTGAAGTATAAATGGAGTGACTTCCTTTCCAGATATTCCTGCCTCACTGAAATATAACATAAAATCAATTAGGGCCTTATATGATATATTTTTGACAGTATATTCCCAATTCTATGACAGTGACCTTTACCTAAGGAACTTTCTAAACCCCTATTGTACATCTGCACATCACAGTGTATCACCATGTGAAATTTTAGATATTTTGGCCATCTGTATCATGAGATAATCTCCGGAAATGGAAGCGTGACGGCCTGACGGACAAACAGACAGACGGACACACAATGTGGGGGAGGGGGGTTAATATTTCTTGTAACATGATGAATACCTGAAACTATGTTTCTGAGTGAGATAATATGAAATCACACATCCTTAGAGCACAAATAGGCCTTTTGAGTTACACTAGTGTATGCTGAAATCAAATCTTTGTGTTTCAAATGTAAAACAAATCAATTAAGTTGGTCATTTTCAGTCAACGCTCTGCGACATCTTTAATTATCCATATACTGTGAAAAATAATAGAGCGCCATTTTACACAAAAGAAAACATCAAATCTAATTTCACTAAAAGTCTTAAAAACGTTTATTAGGTCATGCCAGATATTGGAGATATTATAGACTGTCACCTCTTTTGAAATCAACTGATGATTTATTTACAGATGATCTCGTTTTGAAAGAGTATTGATAGTATATAAATGACCTGGCAACTATTAATGCCTGTGTCACATATCTGTAAGGCCTTACCTCATCTTTG